TACTTTATATAATACATACCTAAGGAAGGAAGGTAACTCTTACATTTTGCAGGGTTTTTTTTTTAATAGAGGGAGGGAAAGAGAGAGGTGGGGGAAGGAGCAGAGGAAGAGGGAGAGAGAGAATCTTAAGCAGGCTCCACACCCAGAGTGGAGCCCAACATGGGGCTGGATCTCATGACCCTGAGATCATGACCTGAGCTAAAATCTAGAGTGGGTCACTTAACTGACTGAGCCACCCAGTCACCCCATACATTTTGAAAGCACTTTTGCATTTGGAATTTTACTTTGCTTTTTGGGGGAAGGAAATGCATGTGAAACTAATTGAGTTCTTCTAATCTGAGGAAGGCCTAAAGCACAGGACAAAGTGGGGGAATCTCTAAAGCATTCATGATCACTTCTTTACTACATACTCTCTTTACATTATGTACAATTATGCAAGATGATCTGTAGATTGGCAAAATCTCTCTTTTTTTAACCTGAGCACCTTGATGATGACGTTGGGTCTACAAGGTTGGCTCCATATGGCAATAGACCTAAGCATGACTATATAATATTTGTCACGAATATGGAACCAGCAATTGTTTGTTGTGCAGTCTTAGACAAGTAACTTAATTTTTCTTTTTAATTTCCCTCATTTGGAAAGGATATAACCTAGCTCATTGTAAGGAGGAGAACTAAGGCATGTAAAAACATCCATCAAAATACTTGGCACACAATAGCTGCTCAGCAGAGCATGATTGAGATGCATTGTGGGCTCTGGAGCCAGGCTGCTTGGGTTTGAATCTTGGCTCTACTCTCTTTTTCAGTGGTGTGACCTTGGGCAAGTAACTTTGCCTTTCTGGGCCTCAGTTTCCTTATCGGTAAAGTGGGGGCAACAGTACTACCTAATATCATAGTCATCTTAGGCAGATAAAATGGGTTAATACATATAAAGGCTTTGGACCATTTATTAATATATAGGGCTTACTAGAATTTAATTATTATTTTATTTTACTTTAAAGATTTTATTTATTTATTTGACAGAAAGAGACACAGCGAGAGAGGGAACACAAGCAGAGGGAGTGGGAGAGGGAGAAGCAGGCTTCCCACAGAGCAGGGAGCCCCATGCGGGGCTCGATCCCAGGACCCTGGGACCATGACCCAGGCCGAAGGCAGACGCTTAACGACTGAGCTACCCAGGTGCCCCTAAAAGTTAATTATTATTTTAATTGCTATTCCTTTTAGCTTTGAGAGACACCTGCATCTTTTTGAAGTTGCATATTAAAGTCAGAGACAGACATCTTCTCCTATGCATAAAACACATCCATTCGGTGCTATCAACACCAACTGTTTTCAGCAGCTTTCTATTGTTATGGTTCTGTAACCATCTCTCCTTTGGTAAGTCCTCAGAGCCCACAGTAGGAATTACTTTGTTTATGTTAAGTTTGGCTGCTTTGCTTTACGACAGTCATTTTTAGTTCTTGACCTCCCTAAGTATTTATGAATTCCCTAAAGAACATGGGGAGGAAGAAAGAGTTATTTGGAGCAAATTAGGAAAGCATTGTGGAATTAGGACTCCCCTTTGTAACCCTCCTGTCACTTACTCTCCAAAATAATCATAGGCTGCTGTGGTTTTTTGCAGATGATGCTCTGGACATTTAGTTTCAGTCTCATTAGGTCTTTTCTTCAGTGGTGATTTTGTTTCCTCTCTTTAATATACAGTGCCAATGTGCTACCTACAGGCCACATAAATAGGGTACAAAGAAGGGTCTCCAAAGAGTCTGAACAAAGAGGTAGACAAGGCTATAACTAACTAACTCACTACAACAAGAATCCAACTGTGCTAACCGCTATTAAGGTGACATAGAGGGAAGGGTCTTCTAACTAAGAGCTTAGGGAGAGGTTTAAAAAGAGGCCACATGATTATTGAACCTTGAAGAATGGCAAGAAGGAGAAGGAATGCAATAGAAGCAGAGAGAACAAGGTGAGCAGGGGCTTGTAAAAATGCATGGCTTGTGCATTTTGTGCAGATGGTCCCGTGTTGTTGGAACAGGAGGTATGTAGGTGGGGGCTTAGGAGACGAGGAACAGGGGCCCCTGGTTCTTCAGGGGGTCCACTCACCCAGCTCTTCTCAGGTTCTGGGGAAGGGGATGATGGGGCTTCTCTGACAGCTCCCTCAGGATTGGGTCTTAGGTGTAGCCCCCCCATTTCCTCCTTCTCCCTGCAGGCTTCTCTTGGCCTCGGCCCATATATCCTTTTAACCTCTGCACTTAGAAAGCCATATTCTTCTCTCTTTTCCAATAGGCTTTGCTGGTGTGGTGTTGACTAACCTGCTGCCTATTGCGAAATGAATGGAGGATGGAATGGCCTAAGACTTTGTACAAAACACTGGCCCCTCGGGATAAAAATCTAAGCCTAAGCAAGTGGGAACAGGCCCAGGAGCATGGCTAGTTTCTGGGGAATAGGAAAGAGATAACAATGAAGGAAGAAAATGATGTTTGGCACATAGCTGTGCTCAATCAATATTCGTTTGATACAGGAATTAAGGGATGACTTGATGGACTGTCAGGTATTGCAAGGTGTCTCAGATCTTGTGGGGTAACTCAGGTATTGCCGTCTCTGTCAGAAACTTCCTATTTGGGAAAGAGGAAGGAAGGGGAGAAGATATCTGTGTATTCTGGCTCTCCATGCATTTGTGCTGAGGCCAGATTTCTTCTGGAGTTAGGAGTTCCTTGACTGGTAGTTTTCTCTTTCAGGAGAGAAAGAAGTGTGTGTGTGTGTATGCATGCATGTGCGCACACATGCACATAATACAGAAATACAAATAGTGACCCAATTATTTATTTCCTTACACTCATGACAAGACCTGACTACCACAGCTTACAAACCATTCCTTTGCCAAGATGCCAAGAAAAAAAAAGTTAAAAACGTCAAGAGAGCTCAGTTTGATTTGGTAAACTTATGTGCTCAGCACTTAGGATACAAAGAAGACTTGGTGCTAATCTCAAAGGGCTTTCAATATGGGTAGACAGAAAGCCAAACAGAGTGTTTAATGCAAGGGAGATAGTGCTCTAACAGAGGTTAGCTCAGGGCCTTGCTACTGCAAGTATGGTTTGACCAGCTGCAGCAGCATCTCCCGGAAAACCTGTGAGAAATGCAGACTCTCTGCCTCCAACCCAGACTGACTGAATGTGAATCTGGGCTTTAATGAGATTGCTAGGTGAATCATATGCACATTAATATTTGAGAAGTCCTGGCCTAGGGTGCGGGGATGGGATGTGGGAGTGTTTCTTAAGGAAGTAAATCCTGAGCTATGTTTTGAGAATGAGTAGGATTCACTGGGTGGTTTAAGAAGCAGACAGAACAGCGTAAGTAAAAGTTTAGTGGCATGAAGAAGCGTAGGGATGTTTGGGGACTTAAAATTGCTCACCAAAAGGGAGCGAGCACGGGAGAGGAGGGAGAAGTGGAGGAAGATGGCAGGTTAGGCAGTGGCCAGATCCTGCTGCACATGCTCTAGGTTACGGAGCTTTGCCCTGACCTAATCCATAATAGAGACCCGTGATGACATGTTCAGATTCCTGTTTAGCCCTGAGAAGCCTGAGAAGGTCAAGGTCAAAGGGCAGAGAAATTATTTAGGAAGCTACAGCAATAGTGTGGGAGAGAGAGAATGAGAGTAGTGCAGGTAGCACAGGTAGTGCAGTGGGAATGGAGAAAAGGGAACAAGTTTAAGACGTTTTAAGAGGTAATAAGCCGATGAAAGACTTCAGTGTGGACGGGGGAGGGAGGAGAAGCCTGTGTCTTGACTAGATGAATCGTGCAGGCTTCCGGCTAGGATTAGTGGGTGGTTGCTCATGACACCACTAAAAGAGATGAAAGAATAAGGATGAGCAGGTTTGAGGAGGGAAATGAGTTCAGTTTTCAACATGTTCAGCTCAGGTGAATAGAAAACATGTATAGGAGGGGGAAAAAAAAGAAGAAAACAAGAGTGGAGAACTGGGTGAATCAATAGGGGTGGAGAGGGAAAGCGATGAGGAAGAAACAATGCGCTGTCAAGGTTTGGGGCTACAGTAATACATATGTTGTATCCGTGAATTTTTCCTCTAGTCCTATCTCCACAGGCTGCCGTCTTGGAACTTGGTTCCAGCAACTGAGCAGACCCCAGAGAAGAGAAAATGGTTTTGATTCATGGTTTCCTATCCCGTGATGAACTCATTGTTGACACTATTTGCTCTACTAAAATAATAATAATAATAATAATAATAATAATAATAATAATAATAATAACAACAACCTGGAGTTAAGCTGCTGCAGGGTCAGAACGAACAATTGTCTTTTTCCATATTGCCTTGTGGGGTGAATAATTCTGCCCACTTCCCCAACACTACTTCCCAAGTGGCAAGACTACAATACCAATATGTGTGGGGGTTTGCGTATGGTCGTTCTTCAAGTTCTGGACGACTTCTGCCACAAATCTTCTCTGTCTTTGTACTTTTACAGCCCCTTTATTTTGCACCTTAAAATTCAGAAATTGGTAATAGCTTGTCTTGGATCATTCCCATAATTATTTCCTATTCAGCAATCTGTTCTCCTCGGCTCACACAGTTGTAAAAATCGTCCGGGACTTCTGCGCCTCCACAGCAAAACAGTCCATAAATACTTTTAACATTTTCTGTACAATCGTCACCAGCCAATAAAAAGCAAAAGGTCGGCACGTGGTTTATTAGTTTGGGCAGGAGGAAGGTATTCCAACCCGATCCTTTCGCTCTTGCCAGGATCAAACATGGCGGGCCTCAGCCAGAATTTCCCGAACACCCAGTTCGCTTTCCCGTGACCCTAGTCAGTCTTTGGCGCTCCTTTTTCCACCTTCCTTCCTCCTCTGCGGCTCCAAGAGGGTCAGCGCCCCGGAGCGTGACAGCGGACCTGCTTCCCGCCCCCACCCGAGGGCCCGCCCACCAGCCGGCGCCAACCAATCGCAGGCCGCGCTGCGCCGGCTGGCAGCGCCGGCCGGCCCCGCCCCTCAGCCTCACTGTGGCCTGCGGCTGCCGGGCCGGTAGCGCCGCTTTCGGTCGCGCGGACTGGTGGTGTGGAACCGCGGGTCCCGGGTGTTCGCCGCCGGCCACAGCTCAGCCCAGCGCCGCCGAGCCCGTGAGCCCCGAACCTCCGCCATGGACTTCGAGGACGGTAAGCAGAGCCCTTGGCTGGTCGCCGCGGCGGGCGGGAGGCAGGGTGGCCGCCCCGGGGGTCTGTTTACGGTCTCAAGATGGCCGTGTGGGCTTTGTTCTGCGGGCCCGGAGGCCGCCCGCCCGCCGCGGGCCCAGTGCCCGGAATCGGCCTGTGTGGGCAGCCGCGGCGCCCTGTCGCGCCCGTCCGGCGCCCGCTGCCGCCGGGGCCCTGGGAGTTCCGTGCCGGCCTCGGTGCGGGGAAGGGCGCGCCCAGAGCACCACGGCCTCCGGACTCGGGCCCCGGACGCGAGCCCCGGACTCGCCCCGGCCGCCGTGCGTGGAAATTGCCCCGACGCCTCCCACTCCCCGGGGTCGGGCAGAGGGGCGAGTGGGGCCTCCCCTGCCTCGTCTCGCATTCGCCCCACAGGGCGGCGACCCAGCTCGTCCGCTTAGTAAATCCTCTGCCAGGCTGCTTCCTACCAGACCAATTTTCAGAGGCTCGTTCCCAGTGGATGTTTCTTGTGTTAGTTTAAGCTGAGTTTAAAGGGCGTCTGTAAGTGACAAGTATGGGTAGATCTCTGTACAGAATGGAAACGAAGATATTACCGGCTAGCAAACCAGGATGTTTATCCACCCAAAGGACCTGGTCGTTAATCCCTAATTTGAAATACTTCTGTGAACTAAAGCATTTTCCCTCTGGATTGTGTATGGATGGGACTTAAGTTAGTCAGAATTCTGGCACAGCATCACATGCCCTTCAAATTCAGGTCTGTGCACAGCCGCTTGAGTTGGACTTACCGTTTAAATAAACTGTATTTCAGCAGTACCTTTCAGTTGACTCTCACACTAGTTCTTTAAACCATTTTCACGGGCTCACAAAATAAAATTAATTTCGTCTTCACCTTGTCTTCAAATCTTGCCTAACTTTTATAGGAATTGGTGTCAAGATAAAATGCGTCGGTAATGACAGCATTAGGGAGAGGTGGAGAAGGGTTTGAGTGGTTAAACTGGACTTAATCCTGAGTAGCCAGACGTTTCTAATAAAACAGATTCACTAACTAGTTGTAAGTCCGAAACCCAACCCAAACCTGGTTTTCTTTAACATTGCATGTAGTGTGAGCCCAGCGTGTGAGTCTGACTAGACGATCTTTTGATCTTTGATTTGATTTCATGCCACAAAGAATTAAAGCTGCCAAATCTAAGTATGTGAAAGGGTACTAGAATAACCCTTTTGTGGATCCTTTTAAATTACTTTGAAATAGGGAGTTCAGCTCTTAAGACCAGCACACTGATGTTTTTGTTTGTTTTGGTTGGACTTTGACTCGTTTTGATACAGATACCTTTTAAACTACGAATATTTGAAGTGCCAAGGCTAGGAATGAAACTTAAAAAAAATATATTATTGTATTTTCATGCCAAAGTTTGATGACGGTATCAACACCCGTGGTACAGCGGGAGCTCCCTAGGGGGGAGGGAACAATGGGAGTGGTGTCTCTGCCCCCGCCCCCCGCCCCCGCAGGAGAATCCATTTTCTGTAGAGACTTGAAAAACAATAATAAAACTTAGTATGTTTGCTTTTATTGTCACCATGTGCCTACAATTCCAAACAGGGTCAGTAATAAAATTATAAACAGTGTCAGTGAGAAAATACTCCCCCTCTCTCTTGCTTCCTCTTAGCCTATACTGCTGTATTTGGGAGTGGAATTTGACTTGACAATATGTCTGAAGCTAATCCTATGTAGTATAGCTGGATTCTGTTGTATCCGAGTGACCTTTCTTTTAGTATTTATTAGTAAAATTAATTACAGGATCTAACGATTGCCAAGTCAGTTTTGACGGAAATTGCCAATATGGTTTTTGGTGATGCCATTTCCTGGATAGATATAGCACAGGCATACAGATGCATATGTGCATATGCATTCTCCAATAAAATCTTGAAAACCTTAGAGGGCAAATAGGTAAAAGAACTATATTAACTTTGAAAAAATTACATGTTACATAGAATCAATTCTCAGATGGCCCTTTTTGCAATATTTGATACATAATTTAATCTGTCTGCTTTCCCTTTTTTACCCTGTATAAATCAGTACTGGATTCCTCGTTTGGCAATTATAGATCAGGTGTTATAAGCTAATTTTTACATTATCATAATTTGGATGATAAACCTGCCTCTTGGGGAGATAGTGAAGAGGAAGAGATCTGTGTTTTCCCATATGAAATATTTGTAATTATTTATACCCCAATTTTGCAGATAAGTGAGTTAATGGCATTTTTAAAAATTGTGTTTCATTTGAATAGATGAGTATGTAATTTCAGATTTTTGCTAATATTGTACTAATTTCTTTCTGTTAAATGTGTCTTCATAGATTACACACACTCTGCTTGCAGAAATACTTATCAGGGCTTTAATGGTGAGTATCCTCTTTCGTTTGTTCTTAAATATGTTAAGGGAATGCATTTCAGTTTTTCTCTACATGCACATAAAGTAACAATGTAAAAAGCCAGTTCTACCTTGTTTCAGTCATTGTGTTGTCTCTTGATGTATCACTGCTCCGTGTTAATGTTGTCATACTGTGTATAGTATTTGAATTAGGGAATTTGTGATCAGAAAAGTTAGGGCTATTCAGATTAGTTTGACTCTTTGTTTTATTTGAATTATGATTCCTTTAATTTATTCCAAAAGGCCTTGACTACATTCTGAGTGATGAGTTACAAGAAACTAGCTGAGTTATTTTTGCTGAATGAGAAGCTTTGGTATTGAATAATGTAGATTAAGTGGATTATTGGCTTGATTTTATATTCCTTCTAATGTAATTCATTTTGACCTTGTTTTTGAGGTCATTTGCTTTAATGTGTCGAAATGTGTTAGTATATAAAGAGCTGTCTAGAGGAGCACATGAAAAAGCCTGATTATTTATTGACTTAAGTGTGACGTTAGAGTTGTGACTACAGAGCTAGATAAAATCATAGGAGGTATGCAGAATACAATTGGATGTTGTTTTGATAGTTATTAAAGTTAAGACTCTGCCAGGCAGGATGATAACATAAAAAAGAATGTGGAACAATTCAGTGAGGTTAAAAAAAGGACCCCAGAGTGGAAGTAAATATCCTGATTGCCCGAGAAATGGAACAGAATATAATACATTCATAAAATAAAACTGAAGCAAATGTACTACTAAGTAAAGCTGTGCCATTTTATGAGAATAATTACTATCCAGTTAATTTCTTTGTATCATCTCTAAGAGTTTAGAGAAACTGTACTTGATATGGGCTAAAAAGGCTCAAGATATAAGAAGTGGTCAGTATATATTGAATGCTGAAGAATATAGTTGTTTTTTTTTGTTGTTGTTGTTTTTTAAGCTTTTATTTTTAAGTAATCTCTACACCCACCCTGGGGCTGGAACCTACAACCCTGAGATCAAGAGTTGCACGCTCTACCCACTGAGCTGGCCAGGCCTCCCTGAAGAATGCAGTTTTTTTTTAAGAATTTATTTATTCATTTGAGAGAAAGAGCACAAGTTGAGGGTGAGAGTTAAAAGGAGAGAGAGAAGCACACTGCCCTCTGAGCTGGGAACCCAGTGGGTGCCGGGCTCCATCCCAGGACCTGGAGATCAGGACCCAAGTCGAAGGCAGATGCTTAACCCACTGAGCCACCCAGGTGCCAAGAATACCGAATGACATAATAAAATTAGCAAAGGAAGTTTGATTTGTATCCACATTTAGGTAGATTGAAAACTGGAAAGTTAGGAGTGCCTGGCTGGCTCAGTCAATTGGTAGAGCATGCGACTCTTGCTCTTGGGGTTGTAGGTTCAAGCCCCACGTTTGGTGTAGAGATTACTTAAAAATAAAATCTTTAAGTAGGAGGGGAAGAATGAAGGGGGGAAATCGGAGGGGGAGACGAACCATGAGAGAAGATGGACTCTGAAAAACAAACTGAGGGTTCTAGAGGGGAGGGGGGTGGGAGGATGGGTTAGCCTGGTGATGGGTATTAAAGAGGGCACGTTCTGCATGGAGCACTGGGTGTTATGCACAAACAATGAATCATGGAACACTACATTAAAAACTAATGATGTATGTATGATGATTAACATAACAATAAAAAAAGTAAAAAAATTTTTTTCAAAAAAAAATAAAATCTTTAAAAAAAAAAGAAAACTGGAAAATTAGCTAAGAAACCATTTCATAAATTTAGGTGTTAGGACTTAAAGACCCTGAACTTGGGAGATGACAAAATTAATTTTTTTTTAAAGATTTTATTCATTTACTTGAGAGAGAGAGCAAGTAAGAGAGAGACCACTAGTGGGGGAGAGGGGCAGAAGGAGAGGGAGGAGCAGACTGCCCACTGAGCAGGGAGCCTGACTTGGGGCTAGATCCCAGGACCCCAGCACAGTGACCTGAGCCAAAGGCAGATGCTTAACGGACTGAGCCACCCAGGCACCTGACAATAATAATTTTTAAAATATTAAGAAGTTTCTAGAGAAAATTAGCAGAACTTGCAAGCTGACTAGTAGTGAGTAGAAAATTGAGAAGGATGAATAAAAATGGGTCCAAGATTTTAAACTGGAATGAGTAGGACTAAAACTTTCACCAAAGAGAGACATTTGGAATGATAGAAGGCTTCAGTTTCTAGTAGTGTTTACCAGAGAGTTGGACTTAATGTCTAAATGTAGGACTTTGAAATGCAGAATCATACCAGGCCAGAAGTTTGTTTTCTTAATGTACAGTCATCATGCTATACATTATATCTCCATGACTTATTTTTTTTATAACTGAATATTTGTACCTCTTGCTTCCCTTTGCCCACCTCTACCCTCTCCTCTAGTAACCACCAATCTGTTCTCTGTATCAATAAGCTTGTGTGGTTTTTTTTTTTTGGTTTGTTTAGATTCCATATACATGTGAAACCATACAGTATTTGTTTTTCTTTGTAACTTATTTCACTTAGCATAATGCCCTCAGGGTCCATCAGTGTTGTTGCAAATGGTAAGATTCCATTCCTTTTTATGGCTGAGTCCTATCCCATTGTATATCTATACCCCATCTTCTTTATCTATTCATTCTTCAGTGGGCACTTAGGTTGTTTCCATATCTTAATTATTGTAAATAAAGCTGTAGTGAACGTGGGGATGCATATATTTTTTTAGATTAATGTTTTACTAATGTTATGACTTTCATTTTTTTCTCTTAATGTAAGTTCCAACATTGTGATTGTTAGATTTCCCTGGAGAGCTTTTTCAAAGTATATCTCTTCAGGTCATACTCTAGTCCTCTTGAATCTTAATTTGAGACAAGTGGTCCCTAGTTGTGCATGTTATGAAAAAGTACTCTGAATGATTTTGGAATGCACTGCTGGTTAAAGATCATTATTTGACATTATTTTGAGGTATAGGTTATCTATATTTTATACATGAGGAGCTTAATTTCAGAGATATAATTTGACTTCATTTAACAAATATTTCCTGAGTGAATGCTGTATATCAGATACTATTCTAGGAGCTGGCAATATAGCAGCCCATATTCTTGCCCTTGGGGGGAGCGTACAATCTAGTGGGATGAAATGGAAAGTAAACAAGATAAAGAAGTAACATATATTGTATGTTAGATGGTAATAATTGCTTAGGAGAAAAACGACAGAGGGAAGGGGTGGTGGTGTTAGTATGTGTGTGTTTGTTGGGGGAAGGACTTATTAAGGAGGTGACATTTGAGGAGGTGAGGATGCAAGCTATGGGCCTATCTAGAGGAAGAATGCTGTAGGCTTTAGAATATAAAAGATGTGTAGTTACCAAATGAAGCCATCAATACAATTCATTGTTAGCGTTGTATTTTTCAGTGACTGAGATGAATTAAAAGGTACTGGAAAACCTGTCAAGTTCCAAACTCCCTTCATACCACTTCTTGGAAGGAAGTTGTATTTCCAGTGTTTCCATGTTTCCTTCCTGCTTCATAATAACTTCTTATATAAATAGCAGACAAAAGAGGGAGAGCATTCCAGATAGAGGGAAAGCAGGAATAAAGATAGGGTTGAGTACATTGTGGTTCAGAGAGACTCATGAAGAATGGTTTTTTGTTTTTTGTTTTGTTTTGGGTTTTTTTTTTTCTTTGTAAATAGGCTCCATGCCCAGCATGGAGCCCAACACAGGGCTTGAACTCATGATCCTGAGATCAAGACCTGGACGCTTAACTAACTGAGCCACTCAGGTTCTCCTAGACTTAAGAAGAATGTTTCGACTAGAGCAGATGATTTTTGCTGAACAGTCTTTTTTTTTCTTTTTAAATATTTTATTTACTTACTTGACCGAGAGAGATAGCGAGAGCAGGAACACAAGCAGGGGGAGTGGGGGAGGGAGAAGCAGATCCCCCGCTGAGCAGGGAGCCTGATGTGGGCAGGGCTCCATCCCAGGACCCCGGGGATCATGACCTGAGCCGAAGGCAGATGCCCAACGACTAAGCCACCCAGGCGCCCCCACCTTGTCTTAAGACAAGGTTAGAGTGGTAAGAGTTGTAGCCAGAGGCATTGAAAATCAAAGATAATTTGTTTATATCTAAGAGAGAGAATAGGAAATAAAGACCTGAAAGAGTGGAGGGATTGAGAGGTACAGATACAGAGGAAGAGCATTCCAGGCAGAGGCAGCAGCAGATGCCAAAATGGGTGTATACTTCCTGTGTTCTAGGGACAGCAAGGGGCCTGGTATACCTGGAGTGATAAGGGGGAATAGTAGATGATGAAGTTAAGAAATGATGGGGTGAATTATATAGGGCAGGATTTCTCAACTTCAGCAGTATTGACATTTTGGACTAGATAATTCTCTGTTGCGGGGGATGTCTTGTGCATTTTAGACTGGTTAGCTGCATCCTTTGCCTTTGCACTAGATGTGAGCAGCACCTGCCCTTCGGTTTTGACAACCAAAAGTGCTTTCAGACATTGTCAAATGTCCCCTGGAGGGCAAAATTGTCCTTGGTTCAGAGCCACTGTATAGGGCCTTACAAATTATTTAAGGCTTTGGCTTTTACTTTGAGTAAGATGGGAAGCCGTTGGAAGTTACTAAGCATTGAACATGATTTAAACCTAAACTTTAACAGACTTATTTTGGCTATTTTCTTCAGAATAAACAAAGGGAGCAAAAGTGGAAGCAGGAAAACCAGTTAGGAGGCTGTTGAAGTAATGTAAGTGAGAGATGCTGGTGGCCTGTAGCAGGATGCTGGAAGTGTGGATATGGTGAAAAGTGGTCCCATTCAAGACTTAGTGTCACACACCTCATTAATTATTTTGATCCTAATTCAGTTGTTTTTTCCTATTATACTCCTCAGCTCATTCCTTGTGATTTAATTGTAACTAAGTTTTAATATTTGTTGAGCTTATTTGTATGATAGAGTGATTGAAACAATAGATTTGATTTAAAACATTAGGTCAGTTTTATTTTTGAGTGAATTAGTTTCATTTAATATTAATAGTAAAGGTATAATGTTATATTTTTACAGTTTTATTTTTAAAGTGATTTTTAAGTTCATTTGGTAACCTGGAAGAATATTGTTCATATATAAGCAGTCATCTTATAGAATCTATATCCCTATAATCACACTGATTACATACAGTATAAAGACTTTTCCTTCTTTCCTTTTTAATTAACTGAATAATAGCAGTACTATGAACAATAAGCCAAAGTCATTGCCATGTAAAGGTGGCTCTCTTAATTTTTGTGTACTCCACAATGCCTGGCAAAAGGTGGGTGTTCAAGAAATATTAGTAATTTATGACTGTAGTGAAATAAAAACACACAGAATAAAAAACAAAAGGATTTAATATCCAAATACAGCCTCTGTGAGCTCAAAATTGAAATTGGCAGAAATAACAAAATGCAAGACTTTTTACTTTGTGTACCGAACTGAACCTAACTCTTAAGATTATAATTATTTATATTTTAAAAAGATTTTATTTATTTATTCGTTTAGAGAGAGAGCAAGTGAACAGTGGGAGGGGCAGAGGGTAGGGAGAGAGAATCCCAAGCAGACTCTGTGCTGAGTGCAGAGCGCAAGGTGGGGCTCAGTCTCATGATCTTGAGATCATGACCGGCGGTGAAACCAAGAATTGGATGCTTAACCTACTGAGCCACCTGAGCTGCTCCTTAAGATTATTTTTAATATGAGGCTTAGAAGAAGGCTTTTAAGTTTGAAATTTTTATTTTAATTTCAAAATTGCCCTCTATCTGTGATGGTATGAGCATAAGTTACCAACTTTAAAGACAAATAATTGGCTATTCTATTAGTCTAGAACTGTGTTGTCTAATATGGTCCATTACCCGCATAGAGCACTTGCAATGTAGACAGTTGAAATTGAGATGTGTTGTAAATGTAAATTACGTACCTCATAGGAAGTCTTAGTATGAAAAAAAAAAACAGTGTAAAAGAGCTCATTAGTACTTTCTGCATATTGATAAACTTTTTGTGCTCTGTTATGCATATTGGTACGTACAAGTTTTATAAAGTTCTAAATTTCACTTGAAAGATCAAATTTTATTATTGGCAGCACGTACTGTTACTTGTTTTCCTTGAACTGACAGTTTTACTTTGTTCATTTTTGAGAAAATGTCTGCCAAATGCTCAAGTCGGACAACCTTAGTTTTTGAATGTTGGTCTGTCCTTCTAGGAAAAATAGTCTTCCTTGTAAAAGTGGCTAATTCAGTTAACCAAGCACTTGCACAATGGCTTTTCCTGGAGAAAACTGTGCTACTTTGGTATGCAGCAAAATTGCTTTCTTTCTGTGTACTTTTTGTTTTACTAGAGAATATCAGAGAGAAAGTGTACTCAAAGGTGACGATTTAATAAAACTGATAATTCTGACTGCTTCATCAAGGACTTTTGTAAGTGGAGATGGCAGTTCTCTTTTATTATTTTTTACCGCAAGTGTGCCGTGTTGAGGACTGCATTGGCTGCTAGTACAGTTCGGTGCCACTGCCTTGATTTGTGCTGTGGCACTCGCAGTTTTACCTACCAGTACCCTGTGAAAAAGGCATATAATGTTGTAGTATTATTTATGAAAATTGTTTGATCTTGTGGATCCCTGAAAGGGCCCTGGCACCTCCCAGTGGTGAACAACTATTCCTTGAGAACTGTGGCTCTGGGGTATAAGAGAATTAATAAAAATCAGACTCTGACCACAAGACTAGTGTACGTTTAAGATGAGGCCACAAGTCTCAGAATATAAGGCAGAGTATCATAAGCATCATATAAGAGCTACAGACTTGTAGATAGTTAGAAGAAAGAGATGATGATCAACTGAGACAGTATCACTAGAAGTGTTCTTGAAAAGGGTTAGTATTTGAAATGGACTTTAAAAGATGAGATTTCAAGAAGCAGATATTTGGGGTTTTAGAGGAGAGTGTTTCACGTAAAAGCAACAGCATAAAGCTGGAGGGGTGGATACTTACTGAACTTTGGGAAAATCATTTCATCTGTTTCAATTTTAGCTCCCTAATCTATAAAATAAGATTGAATTTTATCCTTAAATCTATAAAATAAGATTGCTTCCAGCTTTAAAGTTGCAAGATTCTGCGTGGTATCTTTGTGAAGTTGTTGCTGTTGTCATTATTGTTGTTGTTAGGACCAGCAATATTGAAGTGATTGTAATTAAAATTTAGTGTTTAAAAAAATACAAATTAAGGTATTTGCTCTATGTATACTATTGTATTTATTAGTGCATAAAATTTGGGGAGGGTGGTAATAAAGGATTTTAAAGGACTTTATAGGACACATTCTCAATGATTCTAAAATTTTTTCATTTTTAAAATCGTAGTAAATTCATTTTATTACCTCTTGTTGTATTTTTCATGTAAGAGGTTGGGATATAGGTGGAATTGCAGTGTAATAAAATATACTCAGTACCCTTAATGTATTAGAATTTTTTTTAGTGTTTTGAATTGCTAGAGTTCACATTCATTCCCTTTATTCAGAGTATTTGAGGATTTAAATGTTTGTTGAGTTGTTATTATTTACGGGCGTAGAACCACAGATTAGCCCCCTACTCCGTGATTTTACTTTTTAAAAATGTCTATTTCAGTTAATATATGAACAAATTGAAATTAGGCTAGTTGAAAATGTGGCTGCTTCTGGGTTTTTAGACATTTTGAGGACAGTTATTTGCAAAAACTATACTTAAAACAAAAATTTTTCTTTTTGACATTATTAAATGCTGACTTTTCTTGAGAGTAGGAATTATTTGTTATTGATTACATACTGTATCATTCCTAATACAGAACCTTAAAGGAGTACCCTAGTCAAGTAAATATTGGCTAAATTGAAAATAATTCTAACATAGAACTTTTTAGTTGATAATTTTTTTTTGAAAAATTACGTTTTCTTAGCAAATCTGATTTTTCAGTAGATTATTCTGTGAGTTTTTTCCGTCCATGTCTAGTGTGAGTTTAGCTTAAATGTTATTGATGAATTATTATCTCAGATAACTGATATGAGTATCTCATGTTTTATGCAAAGATTCCCAAAGAGAATGGTATATCTTACTGACCTTTTGTTATTGACTCTGTTTCAGGAATGGATCGTGATTATGGCCCCGGATCTTATGGAGGTCTGACATTCAAGGATATTTATCTAAAAATTCTTCTTTTGGGTGCCAGTAAAGGTGAGCATCATTTAATTTTTTTCTTTTTAAACTCTTTATAGGGATGGACCGTGACTATGGCCATGGATCCTATGGGGGTCAAAGATCCATGGACTCCTACCTAAACCAGTCATATGGCATGGACAATCACAGTGGTGGTGGTGGGGGTAGCAGGTAAATTGCTTAATCACTTGGCCAAATAATTAGATGACTATAAGATTCTGGATATTTTAATTTAAGTATTCCTTACGCATGTTATGATACTTGAACTTCACTATTTGGTATTGAATAATCACCTTAAATGTTTAAAGGTGTTAATTAATGGTTCTAAAAATTATCTCAGGATCACTGACAGACATTATTTTAGGAAAACTTCAAGTAGCTATTTTCATTTCAATACAGTAGAGTAAGATTTTCTGTCTTCAGTAGTGATTTTTTTTTTTTACTTCTTTTACTTTTAACTCCTTATCATTCAGAATGTTCTGAACAAATGATATAAAAATGTTATTGGAAATATTATTTGTGAAGTTTTTTTCTTTATGAGTTTTAAAAGTATCTTTTCTAATATGGGGTGTTCTGTAAAGCAGCAAAGTAGTCTTTGACTGGAATGGGTTTAACTGAACCAGTCTAGCAACATTCAGTTTCTGAGAAACATTTAAGATAGTTATTCTTTCAATTTCAATTTTAGAGTAAGTTGTAAGAACATATTGTAATAATAAAACGTTCTTTAAGTTCATGTCTAGGTTATTTATTGGCAGGTACTACTTATACCAAAAACACTGTGCTCTAAGCTAGGAGCATTGTATCAAAGCCATGAATACTATACCTTCTTTTATTTTAATGCACTAGAGTTTAGATTGTTTTTATATTTCACTGTTGATACCTTGTAAAGCTTAACACTAGTTGAACTAGTATAGGCTTTAGGGTTGACCACATTTCAGGCAAAGGCGGTATACCTTTTGAGGCACAGATATTTCTACTAAATATAACTAGTTAGGTAACATTTGAAACTATCCTCCTTCTTCATAAGTTGAAGGATCTGGATTCCTTAAGGATGGACTGAATGATGCTTACTTTCCTTCTTTCTGCTTCAAGTGTGCCACTATGGTTTATAGTAGAGGAAAATAAAAAAAATGAACAGATACAACAATTTTGCTTATGTGATAGATGTTTTAAAAAGAGTTGGAAAGAGGAATAATTTTTATATGGTTACCAGGATTCAGAAGTAAATAGTACATTCTGTTTAGTGATCTGTAAATAATTGAAATAATGTAACACATTTAAATGTTTTAATATATCCGTTATTGCCCTATTGCATTGTAAATGTGTTGTGCATAAACTATGTAGATGTTATTGTTTATCTCATGTGTAATTGTGGGCCTTTATAAAACTATGTTGTAAGATATCAAGCAACTTTTGTAATCCATGCTTTGGATTTGTGAGAAGTAAGATGATTTGTTTCTTCTGTTGACTCTATTAAAACCTTGAGGAGACTGTGTGCTCCCCTTTTTTAGAGTAGTTTTATGTGATAATTTCCTGCCAGGAAAGAATTTTTTAAATAATTGAAGACTTAAAATGTATTCTTTCTCATCTGCCTTGATAATTTATGTGCAGAGGGTATATGTTGGTGGTCTTTTACTTTTATGTTCTATTTTATGTGCTTATCCTTTTAGATTTGTTAGATTTGCTAGTCTACAAGTGGAAAGTGACTGAGGGTTGATTATTGACCTTACCCAAAGCTGGGCAGGATATCAAATTTCATAACCAGAGATAATTCTCCAAATTTTGACTGCTATAGACACAATGAAGCAGTTTTGTGATATAGATTATTGGGGGTGCAAAAGGATCTCTTTTGTGTCACACATAGCTTATATTAGTGTAGTCTTCAATTTTTGTCCCTATTGAACGCCAAAATATTGTAAATATTTGGTATTTTCCAATACTAGGGATGGATTCAAAGAAAGTTTGAGTAGTTTGTGAACTTTAGTAAATGACTTTTTCCAAGACTAGGGCTGGGCTTAAATACCAACAGACAAATCTTTTTAATAAAATAGAAAAGCTGCTACAAAGCAGATTTTTAAGCTAAGGTTTACTTAACTCAATTCATATTTAAAAACTGACTCAGATAGCTTTCTATCTGGTCTCATGTTGAACTGCCCAGCCCTAATCAGGTGTGAATAAAAGTAGAACTGTGCAAACCAGTATGGTATAAATGAATTTTAGTTGATAAATGTCATCTGATAATTTGTCTTTTGAATTGTCTAACATTAGTAAGCTTACTTTTGTTTTTTCCCTCACTGTGCAACTTTTCCAGGTTTGGACCTTATGAGTCTTACGACTCCAGGTCTTCTCTGGGTGGGCGAGATCTGTACAGATCTGGCTATGGTTTTAATGAACCCGAACAAAGCCGCTTCGGAGGTAGTTATGGTGGTCGATTTGAGAGCTCCTACCGGAATAGCCTTGACTCTTTCGGAGGTAGAAACCAGGGCGGGTCTAGCTGGGAAGCACCTTACTCCCGTTCAAAATTGAGGCCTGGGTTTATGGAGGACAGAGGAAGAGAGAATTACTCTTCCTACAGCAGTTTTTCTTCACCCCATATGAAGCCTGCACCTGTAGGCTCTCGGGGGAGAGGAACGCCTGCTTATCCTGAAAGTACGTTTGGAAGCAGAAACTATGATGCTTTTGGAGGACCATCAACAGGCAGAGGCCGAGGCCGAGGAGTAAGTACAACAGAATCTTTTCAGATTCTTTTCACTAGTCACTCTTTTAAACCCTTTCAAGACCATGGTTTTCATCTAGAATAAACACTGTTCATCCCAGTGTATTTTGAAGCAAAAGTTCAATCATAAGCATAATTTTTAGGTTGCCTATAAAAGATTTTCCAGCACTTCAGAAAATAAGTGGCAGTGTGAGATGATTGTTCGTAAGTTTTGCCAAATCTCCCTTTATTAAAAAGGTGAGGATATTAGGTTTTGGTCTAAAAGGGGTTAAAAGGAGTTGCATTTTTCCTTGTAAACACTAGCAGTTTTGCTGGTGGGACAGTTCTTGGATTATTGTAAAAGGTAACTGAACCCTTTGGAGTTTTTGAGTAGGTTAAAGGTGCAATGTATGATAAAATGTTTATACTTTGCTGCTAACTCTAGCACATAGAATTTCTTCAGAGCTCCATATTTCACATTAAACACAAGGGACTAAAAGTTGGTGATAGATGAGGGTAGCTTAGCCATGTTTACATGGTTGAAGAAGTTGATATGTTTAATAGGTTGTAGAATGATCTGTGGTCAGTATAATTACTAACTCACTCTCTTGCCATATGTCCCATTGCTGGGTGTTCTGTTTTCCCTTGTGTCACTAGTTTATACTATTGAGAAATAAGTTCCTACCTGTACAAACATGTCTCTCGCTCCTTCCTAGGAAGTAATATTTTGTAAATCATTGCTTACATGAGTAAATATACTAGTCTTCAAGTGTTTTATTTCAGGACATAGTATAAAGATAATGACTTATGTTCTTAGGTAACTTGACTGACATGAAATTTTACCTAGTAAGTGTATGTAGATTGTGGAGTTTTGTAGTTTGGTCATATGAAGGATACTGTATTTTTGATTTAATGTAAGAAATGTTTTTTTTTTTTCTTTTTTTAAGTCAGTTACTCTTAATATTCTCTTTGCAGAGGAAAGTACTTCTGATAAAAAAAATGTAGTAGGGCACACGTTTTTAACTGTTCATTAGCCTTTGGTACATGAGTGTAGTTTGTCACTTTTGTGTAGAAATTTTGCATTTATAACAGTTACCCTTTACTTAATGTAAAATGCATTGCACCTTTAATGGATAATTAATGAAGATATTTCTAATGTGACTCTACAAATTACCTGGTAACACTAATCTATTCAAGTCTACTAGGTTAGCTAGGGATTCCTAAGCATAATACATAAATGTAAGCAACTGATATGTTGCTATTCTACCATAATTAGTGACTATAGGTTAATTGAAAATTGTTGGGGTAGTAGGCTTTGGTTTTTGAAGTTGAAAATCAATTCCAGTTTGAAAATTTGAAAAACACTTAACATTTTCCATGCTGTATATTACTTTAGGCAAATGATTTTTTTCTTAATGAAACTTCAAATATTAATTTTGTTTTCACAATAGAAAAACAGGCATTCCTGTACTTTGTGTTCACCATTCTAGTCTGAATGGACTTTTCTTTCTTTTCTCCTGTTAATGAAGTAGATGAACCAACAGGACTTTCTTTTTTAATCTTCACTTGTACAATTCCCATTGGATCCTTCTCTTCAGATTACTCCTCAATCTTTATCTTCTAAAAGTAAGATTAGCAGAATAAATTTCTGTGGACATGTGGCCTCTTGGTGTAGTGGATTTTGTTAATGACAAGAGAAGAGGAAGGGACACAAGAGTCGTTTGGTTGCATGACTCTTCGTCTGTAAACTTTCGCTTCTTGGGCTTCTGGGTCAGAATATGTTTCTCTAGGTAAGAATGTGAATGGAACGTCAGATGTAATTCTTTATCTGAAGTGTGTCCTGGAAGTTGATGCATGGTTATGCTTTAACTCTCCTATTTCATACTAATGTTCCATCTCGCCTTCTCATTCCCTTTTTCAACAGGGAGAAATCCTAAAGGATTTCTGGATCTTTTTTACTTCAGACTTCAGATATGGTCTTCTTTATGCATCTTAGTTTTTAAGCCAGGTTTTAGTGAAATAAAGATGTCTTTTAAGGTCTTTTCATGGGAAAACATCAATTAGGAACTCTGAAGAGGAGTTGTCAGAGAGTTGTACAAGTGGTAATATTCTGACAGGCACATATGTTGTTTATGACCTCAAGTAATTTTGAATGGTACAAATAAAAAAATAAGTAGGAAATATCCATATTTGTTCTACTGGAAATAAAAATACTAATTCACTGGATTTGAGTTCATGTAATAATTCAAAGCTTTTCAATGTGTTTACTCAGAGTGACATGTAAAATTTAGTTACATTCTGGGGAATTTTCAGGTGAAAGTTATTAGATAGATAACACGTAAAGTTTGTGTGAATTCCTACTTTATCTTTGGATACTATGCTAATATTTCTTGATTTCACAAATTTGCAGCATATGAGTGATTTTGGAAGCATTCATAGACCTGGAATTGTTGTTGACTATCAAAACAAACCCACCAATGTGACAGTTGCTGCTGCAAGAGGAATAAAGAGAAAAATGATGCAACCATTTAATAAGCCTGGTGGAACCTTTATCAAGAAACCCAAGCTAGCAAAACCTGTGGAGAAGATGAGCCTCAGCAAATCACCTAGTAAGTAAGAAAACATAATTGCTATGGCTTAAGGTACTTCCAATTTTTTAAAAATTTGGTGCTTTTAGATAATTTTTTCATGTTCATATGACAGACTGCATAGTAATTATAATCGTAGAAATTAGATTTGTGAATCGCCTAGTGTAGTTATTAATTGGTCATGAACATCAAAATTACCCAGAGATACTTTTTAAAAATGTACATGCCCTGGGCCACCTCTCTTCCCTAAATCCTTATTTAGGATGGACTCAGAGCATCTATGTGTTTTAAAAGGCTTCTCACATGATTTTGAGTCAGTTTTGTCTTGGGTGTTATATTTATTGTTGGGAGCAATTGTTGAGGGTATAGTATTGTCCCAATACACAGAATCCCCTTTAGAGGACAAAAGGAAGACATTTTTCATGGTTCCTGATACCAGGAAAATGTGTGTTTCTTCTGAAAAATTAACTTGTTTTTAATCTTGTGGACATGACAACTCTTAGAGATAGTCACATTTCTAACTTTACATTGTTAAAATCAAGAGCCAATCTGAAAATGAAATTAAGAAAACCATTTCATTCATGCTGGCATCAACAAGACTAGATATTCAGGAATAAATTTAACAAAAGAAGTGTAGAACTTATACCTCAAAAACTGCAAAATGTTGTTGAAAGAAGTTAAAGAAGATCTAAATAAATGGAAAAACTAAGTAAGTGGTTCATAGACCTGAAGACTTAACATTGTTAAGGTGGTTATACTCCCAAACTGATCTATAGATTTAGTACAATCCCTGTCAGAATTCCACCTGACTTCTTTGCAAAAATTGACAAGTTGATTTTAAAGTTCATAGGGAATTGCAAGGCATCTAAAATAGAGGAAACAATCCTAAAAAGAAAAACAAAATAGAAAGACTCACACTCATGATTTCAAAATTTGCTACAAAGCCAAAGTAATCAAGACCTTGTGGTACTGGCACAAGGACAGACATATAGATCAACAGAACAGAACTGAGAGTCCAGAAAAAAATTCATAAAACTATGGTCAGCTGGTTTTTAAAATTTTTTTTTAACAATGTAAAGTTGGAAATGTGAATATCTCTAAGAGTTGTCATGTCCACAAGATTAAAAGCAAATTAATTTTCCAGAAGAAACACACCTTTTCCTGGTATCAGGAAGAAACATCTTTTCCTGGTATCAGGAACCATGAAAAATGTCTTCCCTTTGTCCTCTAAAGGGGATTCTGTGTATTGGGATAATACTATATCCTCAACAATAGCTCCCAACAATAAATATAACACCCAAGACAAAACTCAAAATCATGTGAGAAGCCTTTTTTTTTTTTTTTAAAGATTTTATTTATTTATTTGACAGAGAGAGACACAGCGAGAGAGGGAACACAAGCAGGGGGAGTGGGAGAGGGAGAAGCAGGCTCCCCACAGAGCAGGGAGCCCGATGCGGGACTCGATCCCAGGACCCTAGGATCATGACCTGAGCTGAAGGCAGTCGCTTAACCAAATGAGCCATCCAGGCGCCTCATGTGAGAAGCCTTTTAAAACATATAGATGTTCTGATTCCATCCTAAATAAGGAGAGGTAGACCAGGGCATGTGCATTTTTAAAGATATGTTTGTTTATTTGAGAGAGTGCAAACTGGGGGGAGGAGTAGAGCGGGGGCAGGGGAGAATCTCAGGCAGACTCCTCGCTTAGCATGGAGCCTGCTGCAGGCTCCATGTCAAAACCCTGAGATACTGACCAAGCCGAAACAAAGAATTGGAGGCTTAACCAACTGAGCCACCCAGGCGCCCCAGGGCATGTGCATTTTTAAAAAGTATCTGGGTAATTTTGATGTTCATGACTGATTAGTACTATACTAGGTGATTCACCGGTTTAACTTCTACAATTATAATTACTGTGTAGTTTGTCATATGAACATGAAAAAATTATCTAAAAGCACTGAATTCATGATGATGGTATTCAAATGAATGGAGTTTCAGAAATACTGGTTAATCTCAAACTCTGATTTTTCTGGTGAGCTCAACTTAGATTGTGGTCAGCAAGTAAACCTTGCATGTCTATTATTTTTGAAGTGGAGACTGAAAAGGGAGAATGGAAAAATGATTTTTAGTTTTGACTTTTGCTGCTATCCTAGCAAAAACTGACCCTAAAAATGAGGAAGAAGAAAAGCGACGAATTGAGGCTCGGCGAGAGAAACAAAGGCGCAGAAGAGAAAAAAACAGTGAGAAATACGGAGATGGATACAGGTTTGTGCTTAGTAGAGTCTGAAAATTGGTCTTATTAAAAACGGTTTCCTAGAAAATGCAAATACATTAATTGGAATATGAAAAAATTCATGAGCGTCAAATGAAAAGGTTTGATCAAAGATTTTTTGGTATTTATGTGCAGTCAGTACTTAGAAAATATAAGAAAAAGGAGTTACATTCATAATGGTAATCCAAAAATAAAAAATACCTGGAAATACAGTATTAAAAAGAAATACATGTCATAACATGAAGAAAACCACAAAGTCTTCTTGAGATTTGAGTACATGGAGACAGTGATATTCTTGGATAGGAAAAGTAAATATTTAGAAATGTAACAGGTTTTGTGAATCTTGATTCCAAAGAAGATTCTGTAAAAGAAGAGTAAATGAGTAGGTACTAGCTTTTCTAGATAATTGAAACATTACAAAGCTATAATAGTCAAAAATATGTGGTACCAGAAAAAGGTTATTAGTATAATAGAATTATTAACTTGTAAAAAATTGTGTTATATGTAAGAATATAATATATAATAAAGAAGAGGTTGCAAACAAAAGGGGACTTGCTTAAAAATGGGGGGAGAGGGATTGCTTGGACAACTGAATAATAAGAGAAATAGTTTAGATCCTCTTATACCAGTGAAGATGAAATCCAGGTGGATTAAAGAACCTACAAAATGGAAAATAACAGGAAACTAAAATAGAATATTTATAAATAATCGCTGCAGAAGTTTCCCCCCCCAGGCTTAAAAGTTACAGAATAAATTACAAAGGAAATAATGACCACATTATTTTAAATAAAAATTTAAAACTTGAAAGCAAACAGACTTGGAAAATACTATAAACACAAGAAATGATTAATGTCTAAGATAAATATCACCCAACCAGTATTTTTTTTTTTTTGAGAGAGAGAGAGAGAGTTGGGCGGGGCAGAGGCAGACAGAGAATCTTAAGCAGATTCCATGCTCAGCAAGGAGCCCGATGTGGGGCTCGATATCATGACCTGAGCTGAAATCAGAGTTGGATACTTAACTGACTGAACCACCCAGGCACCCCTGACCAGTGTTTTTTAAAAAGGAAGAAAACATGATGCTCAATACATGATTGGCTGAAGGAACACCAGCTAGTTAATAATTTTCAGGAAAATGTTGAAACTCACTGTAAGATAAACTGGAAATTTAAATAATAGCATGGCATTTTATTAGTGAGGAGAAAAGAAACATTGATTTACTAACAATGAAACAGTCAAAGCACACTATTATAATTTGTTGGTAACCAAATAATATGGTTATAATTACTGGGAAGCAATTAAGCAGGTTATTTATTTATTTATTTTGAGAGGGAGAGAGGGGAAGGGCAAAGGGAGAAGGAGAGAGAATCTTAAACAGGCTCCACGCCCAGCACTGAGCCCAATGCGGGGTTCCATCTCACAACCCTGAGATCCTGACATGAGCCGAAACAAGAGTTGGAAGCTTAACTGACTGAGCCACACAGGTGGCCCCAATTTAGTAGTTTTTAAAAATGTCTTGAATTTTTTTTATAGTTGGTGATCTCTCGAAGAAAATAATATAAAAGTATAAAAGAGTTTAATCTAAAAAGATGGCCATTACAGCATTGTTTGTAATAGCTCCAAACATGAAATAAATACCAGTGATAGCAAGTGGTCAAGTGTATGTAAGTTTTGATACTTCCGTTTATGGGCTCTTAGGCCATTGTTGAAAATGAAGGTTATAAAGCCTTTAGTAACATGGAGAAAATGCAGGCGAAGTAAAAAAAGTGATATATACAACATGTAAAATACGCATGAAAAAGTCGAAAAGAAAAATTTTTTTAAGGACAGTAATTTTTTTTCCATCATCTTTCTCTTAAATTACTGCTTATCCTAGGAAAATAAAGATTATAAAATTTAAAAAGTAAATTAAGTGTATTTTCTATTCAGAATATAGTTTTGCTCTTTTTTTTTAAGATTTTTATTTGAGATAGAGATCGAGTTAGAGAGAGAGAGAGAGAGAGAGAGAGAGTGTGTGTGTGTGTGTGTGTGTGTGTGTGTGTGCAAGAAGGAGGGAGGGGCAGAGGGAGAAGAAGGCTCTCCTTTGAGCAGGGAGCCTGATACGGGACTCGATCCCAGGAGCCTGGGATCATGACCTGAGCCGAAGGCAGATGCTTAACTGAACAGCCACCCAAGCGCCCCTAGTTTTGCTCTTTAAAAGTTAATTTGTTTTGTGTAGCATGAGGGGAATGAAATATTACACATTAGTGAATTTTCTAGAAGTCTAAAACTTTATGTTAGTTCAGAATATAACATTTTTAAGGCAAGCATCTGCAGAGCTTTCCATGGAGATATTTTTTAAATTGTGTTTTCTTCCATATTAAACAGGATATTCTTTGTTACTACTTGGTTTTAATATATACGTTGATTTTATTCATGTAAAATGTAGTAAAAGAAAATTCACTGGCATCTGAATTCCCAGATTTTTTTGTTTGCTTAGACTGTCTTTGATTTTAGTGAGCTCGGTATTACACTTGGCCCATAAACAGCGTGGGGGTTAGGGGCGCCAACCCTCCACACAGTCACAAATCCATGTCTAACTTTGGATTCCTGCAAAACTGCTAATAGCCACCTGTTGACTAGAAGTCTTACTGATAACATAAACAGTTGATTTAACACATATTTTGTATGTTACATGTATTATATACTCTATTACAATAAAGTAAGCTAGAGAAAAGAAAATATTAAGAAAATCCTAGGGATAGATAAAATACATTTACAGAATTGTGCTGTAGAAAATCTGCACACAAGGAACCTGTGCCTTTCAAACCACTGTTGTTCAGGGGTCAGCTGTACTTGTATAATCTTTGTGTCCAGCTTCAGTAACTTTTTCCTGTGTTCTTTCTGATTTGTTACTCATAATTTGTAAACAATAAGATTAAGTTAATTAAGAATTAACTCATGAAAAGAAGTTCTAGTATTTAAGAGGCAGCTAGATTTGGTCCTTATGAGTATCTCTGCCACTGTTGCTAGAATTCCTTCTTTTGACAGGGGTGGAAACAAATTGAAATGAACTCTGTTTCAGGTGTGTAGGAATCTGGAGATGTTTTACATTATAAGATTAATTTTTCTATTTACTCTATGAATACTTCCCCCTTTAAAAATTGTAGCTTTGGATAGGATATATCCATGTTATGTAATAAATATGTGACTTGGAGAAAATGAAAAAACTGAACTTTCATTTAGCTGTTTTCTCCATAACTCTAAATATAAATCTGAGGATATAAGCCAAAGAATGTCAGTTCAATTAAATTGTCATTTTAGGATAAGAACCATTTAAAATAGTCTAAACTTATTTTAATTTATCAGAGCAGTTTTATTTTGAGTTAGGAAGATAAGAGATTGACAGTAAATAACTATTCTTATGATACGTTCTTTTTGGATATTTGAATGCTTTCAATATAATAAAGAAGGGAACCTGAGGGGAAGAGGACAGGGGTGTGAGAGGTATAGACAAACAACAGTATATGGGGAAGAGTGCCAAAAGAGAAGTACAAAGTGTCTTACAGGAGATGACTTCTCAGTAGGAGTGCAGGAAAATCAGGGAAATGGTTGAAGGTGGTATTTCAACTGACTCAGGGAGGGTAGGATTGCAGTAGGAGCTGTTAGGCAGCCCAGGTAGAGGCCATGGCTTGAAGTCAAAGCAAAGAAACAGGGATGTTTCATTGACATTCAGGAAATGGAAAGCTGTGTAGATTGAAAATGAATCTAGTGGGGGTTGAAAAGTGTAATCTAATTTAAATAATGAAGACATACCGTGTGCCAGATACTGTTAACGGTATTTAGTGGTTAAAGCCAAAAAGATACAGGAGAGATTAAAAACCTTCTTAAATGGTAACTAAAAGTGTTTTGACTTTGTTTTTTGAGGCTTAAGTCCGTGAAGCTGGTATTTTGAGCAATGAAGTGCTGTTGCCTCCTTGAGGAAATGACAATTATTAATTGAATTATTACTATGTGCCAGGAACTGTCCTAAGGGCTTTCTATATGTTAATTTTTTTAATCGTCACAGTGCTTCTGTAAGGGTTTTCATCTCATAAAGATCAGAAAACTGAGGCCCAGAGAAGTTAAGTAATTTGCCCAACATCACACAAGAGGACTAGGATATAAACCCAGGAGTAGGCTCTAAATCCTATCCTATAATCTTAACCAGGAAAATAAATAGAATAGTGGTATAAAGAATTAGTTGGAAAATGGAGACTGGAGACAAACCAGTTAAGAAACTGTTGTCATAATTCAAGGAAAAGGAAATAACAAGAATACATAAGGCAGGAATACTTTATGGGAGGAAAAAGGGAAATTCATATTCGAGTGGCTCCTAATCCAGGCTGGTCAGTCATCCTGAAGTGGTCCCTAGAGGGCAGGCTTTTGCTCACCCAAGAGCTCCAGGAGAGTGAATTACGGTTGTCTGGCGTTCCACCTGGCTTTGTTGATACTGCCTTGGTGGATTGCAAGCTAAGAGTGGAACAGAAAATAAAATAAGTAGTGGAACTTTGGAACTTGATATTTTTTGAAGTTTGCTTTGGCTTTCTAACTAGTCTAGGCTTGAAGTGGATAGCTTAGGACTAGATTAAGTAGATCCACTGATTCCATCGTTTGTACCCAGAAGCTCCAGGGTGGGCCAGAAATGCAAAGTGGTATAATAACAGTTTTGTCCAAATAGGTATTTAAATAAATACTGGTTTTTCTGACTTCAACTAAATTTAGATCAACCATAAAATGGAATAAAGGAAATCATTTATGCTGGTAAAATTAGTTTTATTGGTGTGGTCTTATGAACTCTAAGTAAATAAGGTAATATTTAAAGAAAAACTTTTTTTTTCTTTATAGAATGGCATTCACATGTTCATTTTGTAAATTCCGAACATTTGAAGAAAAAGATATTGAACTACATCTGGAAAGTTCTTCACACCAGGAAACACTAGATCATATTCAGAAACAAACCAAATTTGATAAAGTAGTTATGGAGTTTTTGCATGTAAGTAGCTGTTTTTAAAATGAGAAGCACTTTATCTGATATCTTAATTTTTTACTTTTTCAGTTTCCCATCTCTCTCCCATTTTAAGTTTCTAAAAATTTAGTTTACTGTTTAAAGAGTTCTTAAAAAAAATTAGCTCAGAATTAGATGTGAATTCCTCTGTAATAGATTTTAGATTTGTAATTTGAGAGATGATTTTATGTTTTTCACATTACTTTCTAGCAGAGGTGTCAGGAAAAGGATTCCTTTAACAACTGTTTATTGATGCAGAATCAGCTATCATTCACTGAGAGTCTACTCTGTACCTTGTGCTGTGCTGGGTACTTTCATTCATTGTTTCATTTGAGCCTCAGCACAACTCCTTTTTATCATGAAAGATCATGCTCAAAGCAGTGTAGTGACTCAGTTAAGTGGCAGTCTGAATTCAGAGCCAGAGAGTGAGTGTCTGTTTGGTGTCCTTTATATTATCAGTGTGTGGTCACCAGTTCAACAGTTTTTCTTGAATGCTTAACAAAAGGTGCTGTGCAGGGACCAAAGACACAGATACCACCCTCTGTGAACTAACGGTAATTGGAAAGAGAACACTCTCGTATATCCACAGATGGCACAGTTAAGTTGAAGGGCCAGGAGTGAGAATGTAGGCGGGGGGTTTGAAGAAGGGGAGGATAGTTGGGGCCAGGGATGCTTAAGGAGGGGACTAGAGCTAGACTGCTAATTGTACATAAGTTAATTTGGACAAAAGCATGCAATTGTTATGGGATTAGAAATACAATGATCATTCATTCCTCCATATCCTTGCAGAATTGTGTACCTTTATAAACATTTCTTTCTGTAATTTCATTCCTTAACTGGTTCCTAGTTGTCATTTAGGACTTAAGTACTCAACTGCTTTGAGAAGACCTCTTAACTCTCCTTGATTTCTCTTGTTCTTTATGCCTAAAGTACATTTTTTTCTTTTTAAATTTTTATTTAAATTCTAGTTAGTTAACATATAGTGCAATATTGGTTTCAGGAGTAGAATTCAATGATTCATCACTTATATACAACACCCAGTGCTCATCATGACAAGTGCCCTCTTTAATGCCCATTCCCCCATCTAGCCCATCCCCCACCCACCTCCTTCCATCAACCCTCAGGTTGTTCTCTATTGTTGAGTCTCTTTTGGTTTGTTTCCCTCTCTCTCTCCCCCCACCCCCCTTTTTCTATGTTCATCTGTTTTGTTTCCAAATTTAATTTAATTCCACATATGAGTGAAAGAAATCCCATGGTATTTGCCTTTTCTGACTGGCTTATTTCGCTTAGCATAATACACTCTAGCTCCATCCATGTCATGGCAAATGGCACAATTTCCTTTTTTTTGATGGCTGAGTAATATTCCACTGTGTTTATCCATTCATCAGTCAGTGGACATTTGGTCTCTTTCCATAGGTTGGCTATTGTTGATATAAAATACATTTTGAAAGCAAATACTTTTTATAAGTGTCTTAGTAATTTCTTTGTATTTTATGATAGTCTTTTTCAACTGAATTGTAAGCTCCTTGAGAACAGATATTAGTTCTTCTGTAACAGAGGTTATCTTCCATAGGCTGAGTTTGCTGCTAAGCGTATTCTAAGTGCTCACTGAGAACTTTTTGGCTTTCTTCCTATTTGTTTTATAGGAATGTATGGTGAATAAATTCAAGAAAACATCTATTCGTAAGCAACAGACAAATAATCAAACAGAAGTAGTTAAAATAATTGAAAAAGATGTTATGGAAGGTAAGTATTTAAACAAATTATTTTGGAAGTTTACATTTTTTTTTACATACCATACCCTATTTCAGTGTAAATGATGCCTTCTAGAGTGATTGAGTTCATAGTCAAATGTGGTAGCCGTGAGTAGGTTATTAGAAATGAACTCCTTTGACTTCCTCTTCTCATGCTTATAAGTTATCACTATCTACCGTTATGTCTCTCACTTGTTACAAGAAAAACCAGCTTTTCCTCTAGATGGAAGTGAATTCTTCCATCTTTCTTCTGTCTTATTCCTTCTCATCTCTTTAAGGACTTCTGCTCAAATAGTGAACTCTTCTGTTTTTTAGTCTTTCTTTTTTGATTCTGTTTCTGAAGCCTACGCTTTCATCTTTAAAAAAGAAAAAAACTCTCCAAAGAAACAAAGGAAAAGAAAAGAAAAACAGACACTAGTTTCCCTAACTAATTAACTTGCTTTTCTCCTTGAACAACCATGCTTCTTTAAGCATAGTCCACACTGATCTGTTTATTCACTGCCCATTACTACTTTTCCACAGTAGAACACTTTCTGCTACCAGTGGTCTCCTGAAACTGCTCTGATGGAGATTTCTTTTTCTTTTTTTTTTTTTTTAAAGATTTTATTTATTTATTTGAGAGAGCGAGAATGAGAGAGAGTACATGAGAGGGGGGAGGGTCAGAGGGAGAAGCAGGCTCCTCGCCGAGCAGGGAGCCCGATGCGGGACTCGATCCCGGGACTCCAGGATCATGACCTGAGCCAAAGGCAGTCGCTCAACCAACTGAGCCACCCAGGCGCCCTGATGGAGATTTCTGACACCAGCTTCAGCAGGTTCTTCTGAATCATTATCTTACTTCTGCAGCATTTTTTACTCTTCTTTGTGAATCTGCTTCCTCCCCTGGATTCTGTGGTATATCACTGTCCTGATGATCTTTATTACCTTGCTGTTGTTTATTTGTGCTTTTCTTTCTCCATGAGGGTTTTACAAGTTGGTATTTCCCGCTGCTCTTCCTTAGTTCCATGATCTTCTCTTTTTTATCCCTTCCTCATGATTTGATTTGCAGAGATAGTAAACTAACGCCTATATGTTGATTACTTGTACATTTATATCCCTAGCACAGATCTCTCCTCTGAACCCTAGTCTCGAACATCCAACTGCCCACTGCCTTCTCTCTTTAGCAGTCTCACAAAATCCGTGTATCAAAAAAATTTGTATACTCTTTGAGCATCCTCCACCCCATACGGAAAAATAACAAAAACCCTGTTGATCTGTCTCTTATCTACCTTGGAAGGTGGCCCCATGATCAAAGCCTTCTAGGAGTATGAAGTTAGCCCTAAGTAATTTTATTTTACTATATCTGTAACATTGTATCTTATCACTTCTGTCTTTTAAATATCTTTCAGGTCTGCTTCTTTACCTCCTTAAATATTACATTTGTTCAAATCTCTATCTGTTCTCTTGGCAATTATTATTTTCCTAACTAGTTTCCATACTTCCAGTCTGTGTTATCTCTAATTCTACTGCATGACTTTTATTAATAATTTAAGAATTTTAGCTGGTTCTCCATCCTCTCCAGGATAAATTTCAAATTCCTATGCCTGGCATGCAAAGATTTCCATGGTATTGGCCCTGGTCTTTTTTCTCTTTTGTCCTTTCTTTATTCTTAGCGCCCCAGCCATACTGAATTACTTGCAATTCCCATAAAGTGCCATTTTCTCTCACACCTTTCCCTTGCATATATTTACATCTTTACCTATAATAAATCTTGATCACAGTTTTCAGGATCCAACATGTATTTTGTTTCTTGTCAATCCAATCTTGACATCTTTTTTCCTATCCCTCCCCACCCACATTTATTATGGAAATTCTTTTCTTACTAAAAAATCAACATTTGTCTTCTTTTATGTTATATTTTTAGGGGATGGACTTCTAGGCCTCAGAACATGATTGTATAACATGATTAGGAAATATAATGTAATTATACTTTCTAATTTTATCTGTTATCCATATTTTAAACTATATGTGTAGATTTATGAGATGTGGTAGAAAAACTTAACATAACCTACATACTTCGATCCTTTTTTGGGAAGAAGGGGTTATAAATAACCATGGAAACAAAATAATAAAAACTTGTTTTGTCAGAAATAAGAATATGTAAATCATTACTTTTCTTATTAATAACTGGCTTTCTTTTGTAGGTGTTACTGCAGATGATCACATGATGAAAGTAGAGACTGTTCACTGCAGTGCGTGCAGTGTGTATATCCCTGCTTTACATAGCTCTGTGCAGCAGCACCTAAAATCTCCTGATCATATCAAAGGGAAGCAGGTAAGTTTTGATCTGTCTTAATTAAGTCATTGAATTATTCATCAGTCCTTTATTGTCCTTTAAAGATCATTGTTTCACACCTAACCTGCTTCCATACAGCCTATTAATCTGTGTAAAAAACTATAAAGATTACCTAGAGGGGCAGTGTAGCATAGTAGTTAAGCATGGTGGTTAAGGTTGGGCTCTGGAGCAAGAATTCCTGGGTTTGAATTCTGGTTCAGTATATAACATGTGGTAAGCAAGGAAATTAACTTTTCTTTGTCTAAGTTTCCTTACCTGTAAAATAGAGATGGATAATCATTCTACTCTTGCATAACTGTTTAAAGATAAAGTTAAAGTATAAACAACACTTAAAATGGTGCCTGACTAGTATAAGCCTTACGTAGTGTAAGCTTACATAGTGTAAGCCTTCAGGAAATCATAGCTGTTGAATTGTTCTTTTCATGAACACTTTTTTAAGTTTGTACAAAATAGTTTTATGAGGAGAGAGAGTGTGTGTATGTGTGTTTTAGATCAAAAAAGAAAGATTTGATTATAGCATAAGTTTTTCTGATGGCTGGGAAAAATAAACTACTATTATCAGTTATTATCTATTGTTATATTTCTGAGTAGAATTTACTCAGAAATTCTAGGAAAAATGTACTGTTTTCTTTTTGATTGGCATATTTCTGCATTTGTATTGGTTGATTTTATTTAGTCCAGTTTATTTAAAATAAGAAGTGTTTATATTGTGGGAAACTAGCTCGTTTGAGAAGCAAATTTAAAAATTCAAATAATAAAGACTTAAGTTTTATTTATTTTTTTAAGATTTATTTAGAGAGCGAGAGAATGCGTGCACATGTGCATGCATGTGCACAAGCGAGCGGGGCGGGTGAGGGCCAGGGGGAAGAGGATCCTGAAGCAAACTCTCCACTGAGTGTGGAGCCCAACCCTGGGCTCAATCCCAGGACCCCAAGATCATGACCTCAGCTGAAATCAAGAGTCGGCTACTTAACAGACTGAGCCACCCAGGTGCCCCCAAAGACTTAAGTTTTAAATAGAACATACCTGAGTCTTAAATTCATATTTTGTATTGATGTGATTCTCAATTAACTCAGACTTTGTTAGCCACTTTGAGCACATATAATCTTTTAAAAATCTTTGTACTTTCTCTTCTCTTTTGATATCCCCTTGACACCTTTTTGGCAACTAGACATTCCATATTATTATCTTTCCTCCTTTATATAATATAGTCTTACGCTAACTACAGTCCAGAGGAAGACTAATTACTCTAGCAGTATGAAAAATTATTCTTTCTTTTTTGATAGCATGAAAATTAGTAGTTGGAAGAGTTGGGGCAGGGAGACGTGCACGTGGAATAGGAAGGAGAGAAAGCAGCTATCTAGTAGATCTAGGTGTATCATATTTGGTGACTGAGTGTTTTTTAATGAGTCTGATTGGCTTACTGAATCATTGTTTTAATCCATGGATGATTTAGATTGTATCACAATAGCTGTTGTTGCTTTATAACTTAATATGCCAGAAAGTAAATCATTTAAATCCTAAGAATTTGAGCATACAATGTTGTTTTAATTATAGAAATATTTTCATGGTATGGTTTTCAAGTATCTCAGTGTGTTCTATTTTTCATAGGCTTATAAGGAGCAAATAAAAAGAGAAAGTGTCTTGACTGCAACAAGCATTTTAAATAATCCAATAGTGAAGGCACGATATGAACGTTTTGTTAAGGTAAGATTTTACGGCAAAACCTTTTTAGGTTATATCGTAGTATCTTTATAATTGAATGGTGACATAGTAACTACGATGTCTAAATATAGTGCAACATTAGGAAGAATTTTACTTAATATCTTGCATATAGGTAAAACATCCTTTTTCCTAATTGTTGGGATTTTTTGGGTGAGGGAACAATAAGCCATTCTTCTCTTATCCCTTTCTCACTCTGGATCATTTGAGAGATATGCAGGAGTCTGATAGAAGATCAAAATGTCACCTTTATTCTTGATTTTTATTTATTTTTTATTTTATTTTATTGAAGATTTTATTTATTTATTTATTTGAGATAGCGAGAGAGAGAGCATGAGCAGGGGGCAGATGGAGAGGGAGAAGCAGATTCCATGCTGAGCAGGGAGCCCAACACGGGCCCCCATCTCAGGACCCCAGGGTTATGACCTGAGCAGAAGGCAGATGCTTAACTGACTGAGCCACCCAGGTACCCCTATTCTTGATTTTTAAAGAAAGGACAGCTTGGGGATATGTCTTACGTGTGTAGTTACTGTGGACCTTTTCTATTTCACTTCTAAGTTAGATAAACTTACCTCTCCTCAGCCTCTGTTACTGGTTCAGCTAGACAGCAGTAGGCTTCCCCTAGTTTACCACATGGCCTGGCCTACAATAGACTAGAATGCACCCTGTCTGTTGCTAGGAAGACCCAAAAGAGGGGACCAAGAAAGGACTAAGTTTTACATGCCCAGTTTCTTCTTCGAAGCATATTAATTGGTTAAGTTGTTCTTCCTTGGATAAAAGTTGGAGGGAAAGTGGGAAGTCAGATATGCTGCTTCAGAAAAAGCTCCCTCATGGAATCAGGAGGCCAGGAGGAGGTTTGTGCTGAATGTTAGTAAACGCAGATGTGAATAATTAGGTACCCCTGGCACACTGCTTCTTAGGATTTTTAGCCATATGCTCTTGTGGTAATCCTTCTTTACATAAAATTCTTTACATATTATGTATACTTATTGTACAAATAAGAATTTACTATTATTCAGGAAATTAACAGAAATACATTTTAGAGGTTAGCTTTTGAGTCTTTGTAAAATAATACCTCATTTAAAATAATCCTACACTGAAGATAGCTGTTATGTTGAAAATTTGTAAGTCTATTATTTACATTTGTAACTAAATCTTGATTTTATGGATTAGAGAAGTTTGTTTATTTTGGCTATTGTAGTGATTAACAGGTACTTTGTGAAGAAGCCTGATTGACCATTAACTTACACCTCAACCAAGTGACTTACAAGCTGAATAAATCTCAATTCTTTCATCTTGTTCCTGAGGGTCCTATTTTCTGATTTGTCATATTTGTCACTTTTACTACATTCTTGGCACCATTTTTAAAAGGTGAATGCAGAAATTGTAACAGTAATGCAGTCCAACAACAACAACAAAAAAATAGTGACTGCAGCCCTAATTGAAATTCAATTTTTGGGGAGATATGGCATCAAAAAGGTAAGAGCTAATTGCTAAATGAGGAAAAATTAGATTTTTATCCTTGCTATATCACAAACTTTTGAGAAGTTAATAATGGTTTCTATTGATGTATGAAAGTAATAATGAGAGAAGAATACAGATGTGAGTTTCTGTGTAGACTTTTCAAGCTACACTTGAGAGTCACTTCATGGAATGAGAGACATCACTGGTGGGAGTGTCTTTCTCATGTGCATATTGTGGAGAAAGTGCCTGAACTGAGGAGAACTCTTCTAGAATTTTTTTACTATGAATGTGATCCATGGACCAGCAATATTGGCATCTCCTGGGAGTTCATTAGAAATGCAGTTTCATTTGAACAAGATCCCAGCTGATTCATAGACATGTTAAAATTCAAGAAGCACTGGTGTCACATTACTCAGTGATGTCCCTTTGTTCAGCTTTCCTATCTGCTCTGTTCCCTGCTGTTATTCCCCAGAACATCCTCTGCCCATGGTCAGCACTGTTCATCACTTAAAACTCTTTAACCTTTAAGTGCTCTCAGTCTGACAAAATATCTTTTTAAATCTTTGTCCCATGAAAATAATCAATTCATCAATTTCCCCTAATTCTCCAACTGTATCACCTTGTTCTACCTTCACGCTCTGGCCTGGATACTCATGGTCAGTCCTTATAACAATGCAGTGCTGCCATTCTAAAATTCCTCACTTACTTGTTCTGCCACTTAGCAGTTCCCAGCACTATGCCATGATTAGCTTTTTTTTTTTTTTTTTTTTTTTAAGATTTTATATATTTGAGGCGAGAGAGAGAGGGATTGAGAGCACAAGCAGTGGGGGAGAGGCAGAAAGAGAAGCAGACTCCCCACCGAGCAGGGAGCCCGATGCTGGAGCTTGATCCCAGGACCTGGAGATCATGACCTGAGCCGAAGGCAGACACTTAACGAAGATAAGGGTGGCGAAGGTGCCACCCAGGTGCCCGTCTGGTTAGCTTTATTAACTATCTTGCTATAGATGTCATGGAATTGTACCAATACTGTGTTTGCTAGATTTTCACTGCAGTTCACAGTAATTTTGCCTATTACCATTCAATGTAATGTGCTTCCTACAGTGACTGTTTCAAAGCTTTTCCACTCTTACCGTATCTAGATTTCATCCTTACTCTCTTTACTTCCCATGTTCTTATCACTTCTCTTGCTTTAGGGAGATTGAGACCATTAGATGTGAACTGTAAGTTTTTTCCTTCCTGTATTAGATTTATGTACCTTACTCTCACCTTTATTGTTACCTGTGAAGAAAGATACCCCCTTTTTGCCCTTCACCTGTATTCTTGTTTTCATCAGTTTTCTAACTCTCCTTGCTTGTATCTTACTTGTTCCCTGTTTATTATTTTATTCTTCTACAAACAGACATGCTTATAAGTTCCCTAAACTAAAAATGACTTGACTTTTCCTACTCTGCCCCTTCCAATCTTATCTTTTCTCTTATCACCATACTTAGAAAGGTAGTTTACCTTGCATTGTGCTCTGTACTTCAGCTCTTTAACTTGGTAGTTCTCAATTGGAGACATGTAATTAGAATTCCTTGTGAAGCTGAAATCAGACAAAAAGCTGCCTAGGCCCTCTTTAAGACCTTCTGAATTAGAGTTTCCCAAACTTCTCATTAATATCTCGTGAAATGCTTCTTCTTTTTTTTTTTTTTTTAAAGATCCCATTTATTTATTTGAGAGAGAGCAAGCACATGAGAGGGGGGAGGGTCAGAGGGAGAAGCAGACTCCCTGCCGAGCAGGGAGCCCGATGTGGACTCGATCCCGGGACTCCAGGATCGTGACCTGAGCCGAAGGCAGTCGCTTAACCAACTGAGCCACCCAGGCGCCCCTCGTGAAATGCTTCTTAAGTATGCAGGTTACCAGGTCTCTCCCCTGGAAAATTTTCATTCAGGAGGTTTGAAATTGATTCAGGAACTTTTGTTTTTAGCAAGAGCTCTAGTACTTGACTAAATTAAAGTCTCAGAGTGTGGGACTTGGGCCTGTGGGTTTTGAGAGCTTAGAGGAAATTACGAAGATTCATTCTTGGGCAGTCATTGCTGTCCAGCTTACACTTACGTCATACTTTTGGAACTGCTCTAAGATAACTGGTGACTTAATTTTCAAATAAATTTTTTTAACATTTTTTATTTACTATTTTAAACATGTGAAAGTTAAGGGGATAGTGTAACAAATCCCCCAAGTACCCTCACTCAACTTTAATAATTATCAACTCTAGTGACCTTTTTCAGTTCTTTTCTAGTATTACCTCTTTGCATCATTTGATACTGTTAATATGTCACTTATTCTTGAAACTTTGTTTTGCCAGATAATAGTTTACTGTCCTGGGTTTCCTCCTGCACTGAGTATTTTTTTCTTTTTTTCCTAACTTCTGTCCCTATGTATAGGCATTTTCAGTGGGTTTTTATCATCAGCCCTTTTATTCTGCTTACTTCCCTGGCCCTTTTATTCTACTTATTTCCTTGGCCTCACTATTCACTCTGTGCAAACAATTCACAAATCTCAATGTCTTTACTTTGAACTCTCTTCTCTTTTGAGTTGTGAATTTAAAGCTGCCTCTTAGACATTTAGACATCTTTTTTTTTTTTTTTAAAGATTTTATTTATTTGACAGTGAGAGATACAGCGAGAGAGGGAACACAAGCAGGGGGAGTGGGAGAGGGAGAAGCAGGCACCCCGCGGAGCAGGGAGCCCGATGCAGGGCTCAATCCCAGGACCCCGGGATCATGACCTGAGCCGAAGGCAGACGCTTAACGACTGAGCCACCCAGGCGCCCCGACATTTAGACATCTTAAATTCTAATTATATATAGCATACATCTGCTTCTTCCACTTTTGCCATCCTAATTTACATATTCTGTTAATGGTGCCGCTACATCTTTTACACTCCTTTCCTGGATTAGTAGAGTAACCGCTTCACTAGTATTTCTTCTCTTATGACTTCAGTTCATCCTGTTCATTCCTACCGATGGGTCTTGAAGTATAGCACCAGGCTTAACTTTGCTGTTTAATAACCTTCATTGCCTCTTCATTTCTTACTATATTAATACAGCCTTCTGATATGGTCTAGTTTATGAGACTTAATCCAGACACATAATTCAAGTATTTATATAAATTAAAATAATAAAGTTGTATCTGTGAATGTTAGTGAATTACGGATTTTTTTTTTTTTTTAAGATTTTATTTATTTATTTGAGAGAGAGACAGCACGAGCAGGGGCAGAGGCAGCGGGAGAGGGAGAAGCACACTCCCTGCTGATCAGGGAGCCTGATGCAGGGCTCGATCCCAGCACCCCAAGATTATGACCTGAGCCAAAGGCAGACGCTTAACTGACTGAGTCACCCAGGCACCCGTAGTGAACTAAAGATTTATCTACTTTTTTAAAGTAAAAGTAAGGTGTATCTAATAGGTACCTGATTTTCATTCATTTGAATTTTAAAAAAGACTTGATTTTCATTTGAGTGTTTTAAAGAGATCCTACCACGGTAGTACCTTGAGTCCTGGTGTAATTTAGTAGAACATAAATCTTTGCTTTATCTACTTAATTTCTACCAAAACCCATATTTGCTTTTGTCATATACATATGATTTTAGAAATTCAGTTAGGAAAATGCAGCCTTTAAGCATTCCAGTTTATGGGATATAAAGTAGTGACTTTAGTAATTTATATACCCCCATTGGTATGAAATAGGTACTGAACAATTATTTAGTGAATTTGTCATGAGTTAAAAAGCTTCAAATTATATTTATTTTTAATGTTATAGCAAATAAAAATTTCACTGATAACAAAAATGAATGTACTGATTTTAAAAGCTATTTTTCCTCATGCTTTTTAGGGTGAGAATCCTTTTGAAATTCAAGATCATTCTCAAGATCAACAAATAGAAGGAGATGAGGAAGAGGAAGAAAAGATTGATGAACCTATTGAAGAAGAGGAGGAGGAGGAAGAGGAAGAAGAGGAGGAAGTGGGGGAAGTAGAGGAAGTAGAAGAAGTGGAGGAAGCAGAGGAAGTGGGAGAAGGAGGAGGAGTAGAGGGAGTAGGAGACACAGAGGAAGCAGGGGACATAGAGGCAGTGGGGGAAGGAGAGGCAGCGGGGGAAGGAGAGGCAGCGGGGGAAGGAGAGGCAGTGGGAGAAGGAGAGGCAGTAGAGGAAGAAGCAAAGGAAGAGCCTGTTGACTTCCCTGTTGACCAACCTGAAGAAAATTAAATATAAGGTATTAGTCAGATTTAAAAGAAGCTTTAAATTTCTCTCCTAATATGGAAAAGGGTAAGAATTTTAATAGTTTAAAATATGAGAATTAACACCCATGTTGCATGCATTCCACACATTCAGATTTGTTTTATATAATTTCTAAATGTTTGGCATTTGTTTAATAAAATAAAGGTAAGACTATTTTAGTTTAGTTTTTATAGCTACCAAACTTAGATTAGATAAATTGTTTGTATAATTTTTAAGCTTAATTTTTATTACTTTATTGGTGTTAAGGATAACAGATGTGTATTGTTAGTATATTTACTCTAATCATTTGAACTTAAATGCTGCTGTTGGGAGTATATATTCAAGTGTGCGTTAATGTTTTGAATACTTACCCTGGAAGAGATAAATTGGGCAAGTATTTTGTGCTCTGACTGTGTATTTTTTTACGGCATTGGACATTGAATAGTAATTTGCGTTAAGATACGCTTAAAGGCTTTTTGTGACCATGTTTCCCTTTGTAGCAATAAAATGATTTTTACAAAAACTCTTTCCCTGGATTAGCAATTTTAAATGAAACAGAATTCATTAATTAAATGAGTATTTAAAATGAGATTTTTGCCTTAATGTAGGAATTTAGCTCACAGATATATCAAGATGATTGAGAAGAGTTGAATTAAAGAAAAAATTTACTTCAAACATTTTTTAAAAGTACTACTAAAATATTTTTTAACATATTTCAAGTTGAGGTCAGTCTATAACTGACTTGTTTATACTTGTTTCAGTTCCTTCCTTTTCTTTATGCCTATGTCAGTTCTTGAAATCTTCTTGAAAATACATTTGGATACAAATAATTTTTTATAGTTGTGTTTGTTCTTTTGTCATCTCTGTTTTTAGCTGAAGAACCAAGAAACAATCACTTTTCTAAAAAAGTATTTCTCTCTTGAATTTTTTTTTTTTTAACTTCTGTAGTTTATAGGCTTACATACTGAAAAAGAGAAGATGAGATTGACAGTCTATTTTCAAATGACCGTCTGTGTCACTGAAAAGTAGTGCTCTTATTTCTTTGAATCTTCACTCTGGCCTCTTTTGAGAGAGGGACTCTCAGTGAAATAAACTAGCTTCCCAAAATTTTGAGGCATTGAATGGATGAGTATACGTACGGGAATATTAAGTAATTTTAAAGCATTAAGTACATGAATGTATAGGCATTTGTAGCATTTCACGGGTAATTTCTCTTTTTGCATACAACAGAGCTTTTAAAAATACATTTTTGGGGGCCAATATGGGTTCATTGTTTTGGGCTAATTTGCTTATCTTTAAGCTTTAAGTCCTTTGTATCCACTTATAGGAATTTAGAGCCAAATAAGAGGTTAGTTGAAGACTGGAGAAATTTGGATCCTAGATAAGAGTCTGTATTTACTTAAATAGGCTTCAGAAAGCCTTTGTGCTCAGGAGTTAAAATTTTAAGGATAATAGGACTTGATCAGCGGTCTTGATTCTCACTTACTTATTTAGTTTCTCCTTTATTTGAAAACATTTATGTAGGGGTAAGGTAAAAGGAGAACAGATCCCTTTGGATTATAATTAGTGGGTTCTTTTGGTACTAAGTAGGGTGTTTTTTTAAAAAAAATGTCCCTAGTAATTTGAGATTTGAAACTTTTGGAAAGAATCCTATAACAAGAATCTGTAGAACAACTTCTAAGTAAGCATTTTATTTATTTATTTGATTTTTAAAAAGATTTTAAGTAATCTCTATACCCAGCATGGGGCTCGAACTCAAAACCCCAAGATCAAGAGTCTGACACTTCACTGAGTGAGCCAGCCAGGTGCCCCATAAATGTTTTAGAATAGGAGATAATATCTAAGTAGTAATTTTGGTGGGAAACATGTAAAAACCTTTATTCAGACTAGCTTATTTGCAAGGTATTATTATTAATAAAGGTATTTTGTTATTGTACTTACTTCAGAAATTCAAATTTATGTATATCCTATTAGATAATTTGTAGATAGGCAGTTTAATTTGCAGGCAGATTAATTTTTGTGATCCTTTGAGTTTATATTTTCAATACTTTTGTGCTAAGAATTTATATGATATCCTTAATAACATTTCAGCTTCTGTTATCCAAGTATTACTTGTTTATTAAAAATCTAAACATGTGGTTTTAATAACCAAAGAAATTTATTTACAACTTACACAGTTGTTTAAGCCAGATGCCTAGGGACCATCCTATATTCTTCCCTTTTTCTCACCTCCCACCTCCAGTCTATCAGAAAGTCTGTGTTTTCTACTTCCAAAATTTATCTTCCCCCTCTTCCATGTCTTCTGCTACCAATCCCAGTTCAAGTCCCCATCATCTCTTTTCTGGACTATTAAAATACTTTATAAACTAATCTTGTTTCTAGTTTTGCCCTGCTAGATTCAGTTTTCCACACAGAAGTCTAGTCTTCTAAAAATATAATAAAGATAATACTAGTCTCCTGCTTCTTTTTGTATCTGTACGTTTACTCATGGTAATCAGGCCTGGCCTAGCATTCCTGCTTTATATCATGCTGTTCTCACTGGCCATGGTGGCCTTCTGTTAGTTTTTAAATGAAGCTCTTCCCTATGTCCAGACCTTTGCACTTTCTGTAATCTATACCTGTCAGCTTTTTTTGGACTCTTTATCCTTTAGGTCACCTTAAATGTTAAGACGAGGTGTTTCTAAGGAAACATAAGAGCAGTAGTTCTTAAATTTTTGTAAAAGTAAGGATTTGGGGCCCCTGTACCCCAGATTTACTAGACCATATTCTTGGGAGATGATGTATTTTCATAGATACCCAGGTGATTCTGATGGTAGTGGTCAGTGATTGCATTTCAAGAACACTTACAGTGGCCTCTACTTTCTAGTGCATACAACTCCTGTATCAAAGCAGGGGCTTCTGCCCTTTAGTCGACAGGCACAGGTTTGGGGAATTCTCATAATGTTTTACAAAAGCATTGGAATGACCTGTTACAAATTTCTGGGAGTCAGAAAACTGGACCTTGTTCTTGTTTTTGTTCTTTTACTCCCATTAGGTTATGTAATTCTTACAAGTTGAAGTTCTAATAATAGAACTAACAGTTTTCCCATATAACAAGCTCTTTCATATCATTCCCCTACTTGAAATCCTTTATTGGCTTTTTATACATGTCTGTGTAACATCCAGATTCTTTTGATATGGCCTCTGTGGTTCTGTATATTCTGTTCCTTGCCTGCTTCTCCAGCTTTGTATCTCAGTCTTTAACATATTTATATTAACTGCCGGTGCCTGTAAACATTTGAATTTATGATATGCTTCAGGAGGCAGAATGGTTCCTAGAGTTGCTAAGATTTAATTATAATCTGTGTTAAAAATCTAGCTATTATATTTTATACAACTATACTATAGCATATTATAAAATATACTTATATTTTATAATGTAATATTTTATAATGGTATAGTATTATGTAACACATCTAAAAAACCATTGATCCTAAGAATGGGGTGAAAATTCTTAGCAATTTGTATACCAGAAGTCATGGACATAGAGGAAAAAAGAACTACAAGGGTAAATGTTGGTAATGCATGTTAAAATGTGTTTGAGAGTTCTCTTTTTATTGGCAAGATTGTTCTTATTTAGAAGTAGTTGGTATCAGATTATCTTATTATCAGACTTAATATTATTTGACGTTTACTTTGCCTACCAAGTTGTCCTTGCTGTGAATACAAACTTTAATACACATAGCATAAAACTTACACTTTCACCATTCTTGAGCATACATTTCAGAGGCATTAATGACAAACTTTTGATTACAATTTGGAATCCGTGGTAGTTCTGCTGATGGACAGAAAATGGAGTAGTCATGCAGGCAGAAGTGTTTTAGTCCATGTGACAGTTACAGTTCATATTTAAATTAACAGTGTAATTTTATTTGGTAGTTCCTACCCAGATGGCTGGTTCTCTGTTATGCAGACAAAATCAGGGAACCTGCAAGCCTGGGGGTAGACCGTTGGGTGTGGGAAATTCACTCCCTGTTGCCACCAATTTGGGCCTCCTTGGAAGCAGTTAATGCTGGTCTCTTCCTGCATTTCCCTTCCCCTTCTGATTTTCCTAGTTTGTGTTTAAAAATTTTTTAAAGACTATGTTTGAGGTAGGGGTGAGGCAGAGTTGCTGGTTATAAGAGATGGCCTTCTTGGTGGCCGAGAGTGTAGAAGGGAACAACTTATAAGCAGCTTAGTTATTAGATGAATAGAAATTATGAATTTGGGGAGAGATCCAGATCAAAATGACATACTGGGTTCAAGTCATTATCTTCTGAAGTTCTATTAAAATTACAGAAACTGTACAATGATCATTACAGTAATAAAAATAAATTCATAACTACACTAGAAAGATAACCATGGTTGCTGTGAAGCTTTTCTAGAAGATACAAAACAAGGAATCAGATCTTGGTGAAACAGAGAGCCACAGTCCACATAGAGATGAAAGTTAAGGAAGCACCTCCTTATTTATTTATTTGTTTGTTTGTTTATTTAAGAGAGAGAGAGAGTAGAGGTGGGGAGGGGCAAAGGGAGAGAGGGAACTTGGGCATGGAACCTGACGCGGGGCTGGATCTCAACCCTGAGATCATAACCTGAGCCAAAATCAAGACTTGGATGCTTAACCGACTGAGCCACCCAGATGCCCACACCTCCATTTTTAGAGGCAGCTGTCAGAGTGGGTGGCTCTAGTATGGTAAGCCATGTTATTGAAGGATTGAATAGTTATGCTAGTCCCTGGCTTGGGAATCTTGGTCCGTGATATTCCTCCAATTTAAAGCCATAACACAGCTTACTGTTTGCCAATTAGAGTGAAACTTCTGATGTAGTAGACTCCCAGAGCATATATATAGCAGCCATCAAAGTATGGTAATGCCTTAGGTGTTTTGTGAATACCACAAGGGGCTTTGGTTCCTCATATTTAGAAAAAAGGCAATCAGCAAAACCTGGTGACTGTCCATTTTCCATTTTTCCAACTGATTCCAGCCCCCTCCTCCCTCACACAATTAAAATGCCAGGTTCTTTGTAATCAAAATCTGCCAGGGAACTTCACTCAAATTGAGAAAATAAACCCCAGGTAACAACACCAAAAAATCTAATAGTTTTGCAAATCACCAGCTGCAAGCCTCCCACTGCCTGTTTTCATATGGATTTAAAATTTTTAAAGGTTGTAGAAAACAAAAATAAAGAAAATGTGACAGATACCTAATGTGTCTTCCAAAGCCTAAAATATTTATTAACTGGCCCTTTACAGAAAAAGTTTGCTGACCCCCTAGGTTCAGTTCTTATTTACTCATAATAGTCAATGCAGTAGCAACATTTAAGGAAGAGAGCAACATGAAAGATAAACAGTAAACTTGGGCGCCTGGGTGGCTCAGTTGGTTAAGCGACTGCCTTCGGCTCGGGTCATGATCCTGGAGTCCTGGGATCGAGTCCCGCATCGGACTCCCTGCTCAGCGGGGGGTCTGCTTCTCCCTCTGACCCTCTTCCCTCTTGTGCTGTCTCTCATTCTCTCTCTCAAATGAATAAATAAAATCTTTAAAAAACAAAAAACAAAAAAACAAAAAAAACCCACAAACAAAAGATAAACAGTAAACTTAACAAGCAGAAATAATCCTGGGGATATAATGCAGGTTAAACAAAAACAAAAACCTTTAAACTTTAAAATATTTTAGTAAATACTAAGGTAAATTCAGTGTTTTATGTAATAATAATTAGCAGTAATTATACTAAGTATTTTTATATGTAATCCTTAGATATAGTATTATATATCATTATATTATTATCTCCGAAGAATTTTAGAGGTTTTTGCACTAATTTTAAAAAAACACGAACTGTAATAAGAAAAATATCTCGGAAATAAAAAATAGTTGCTAAAATAAAAATTATTTTAGGCCAAGTAGTTGAATAAACATGGCTGAAAATCAAATTATTGAGCTAGAATTTTAAGCTGAGGGGTACTTCCAGAATCATGTAAGGAAAGGTCAGAAGATGGAAATTATGAGAAAAGTTGAGACAGAAGATCCAGGTAAATACCATCCATTTAAAATGAAACTTCATGAGGTTAGGAGCCATATGTATAGAGAGTTTAGCTTTGAAAGTCCTACATCTATCACAGTGCTGGGTGCATTGTAAATGCTCAGTAAATATTTTTGAATCAGTGAATATATGTATGTATGCATAGGTGGGGCAGAAGTTGAGAGCAGAAAAAGTGAAGAAAAGAAATAGACAATAGGAAAAAAGTTTTTTTCTTTTGAAAGACTGACCACATACTAAAAGTCTGAAGTACTGAGTAAAAATAATGAAAAAGGAGAAAAAATATATCCTGACAACATTTCTGTAATCCCAGGATAATGAAAACAATCTCAAAATTTCTAAAGAAAAACAATTTACCTATAAGGGGAAAGAATCACATTGGTCTCAGATTTGTCATCTGTACGTTGGGATGCTAGAAAGTACTGTTATTTTTAAAGTGTGGGAAAATTATTTTGAATTTAGAATTCTATCTTGAGTTAAACTGTCGTTTTATTTTATTTTTTTTTAAAGATTTTATTTTATTTTTGACAGAGAGATAGCG